CAAGGTTCTTTCGTCTAACATAACTATGAGAATTACAGAATGCCCCAGGAGGAACCAGCTTCCTGCTAGTAAGGCTGTTGAGGATGGAACATGGAGGAAGGACTGATAGAATTTTCTTGGTGGCTTTGGGCATTTCACATGAGAGAATGGTAAGAATTCAGGGACAAAAGTGAAAGGTGCACAGAGCATTTTCAGTGTGAAGAAATGCTTTAGTTATGCTCGAATACGTGGTTCCTTTCTACAGTCGTATCATGGCCAAAAAGGCCAAGACCAGCATGTAGAGACCATACTATGAAAGGTTTGAATACAGGATGTCCAGTTTGTACTTTATCCTACAAGCAAAAAAATTTCTTGGAGAGCTTTAGAGCAAGCAAGTGATGTTATCAAAATATTGATTCTGTAGTGATAGATTATTTTGGAGGGTGAAGAACCAGAAGGCTTAATGCTCAGGTTAGAGGTTAAGCATTCATCTGGTTGTGGGTTGGTAAGGGCCAGAATCAAATGAGAGTTAGGATTCAAGAACTGACTAACCTAGTGTTTGTCTGCTTGTTTGTTTTTGTTTTAATGGAGCATGTACAGATTGGTATAAATGAGTAGTGTAATGAAAATACCAAAGCTAAACATACTGGTAATCTTTATTAGTGACCAAACATGAATGAATGATGAAATGTCTTACAAAAGAGGGCAGCAGGAATTATGTATATGCACGACGTTTTTAAGAACATGGTGAACATTATAAATAACCCTATTTAATCACGTTCTCTATGTAAGATTATAAGTAAGACATAGTCCTCAGAAAACCTGATGTACTTTATAAAATATTTTTAACAAGTTTATTAACTGGCATAAAAGTGTAGAATTTGATAGGTTTTGACATATGTATCTTAAAGAACTAGCTTTTAGTCTCACTGGCTTTATTATTTCTAGTTATTTCATTGATTTATAAATTCAACTTTTAAATCTACTTATTAATTTTTCTTTCAGTTTACTGAGTTTAATTTTCTATTTCTTGTTTCTTTTTTCCCCTCTAAATTTTATTTTTATTACAATTATTAGTACATATGAATTATATGAAATAATGAGTTTCATTTTGACTTTTTCATATATGTATATATGAGCTTTGATTGTAGTTGGTGTACTTCTGAGGAACTGGTATATTTTCTTCCTTCTCACAATGAGGCTGTAAAGTTCAGAACATCTTCCCTGAATGCAGGAAGGCTGGGAACCAGGCTTTCTGCCTGGCTACTACAGCTGTGTTGACTTTAGGTGGTAATCTCTGTTTTCTCTTTTGTTCTTAATTCTTCTCCCCTCCCTTCCTACATCTTGTGTGTCTTTTGCCCCAGCCTCTAAACTGAGTCCTCACCTACCACTTTATTGTCTAACCTCCACATTTATTAGAGTGTGATCCTTTTCACCAATAGCAGCAGCAGCCCTGGGGACTTTTCAGAAATGCAAATTCTCAGGCTCCTCTCTAGAGCACTCAGCCAGAAATTCTTGGAGGAAGGCCCAGATATCTGTGTTTTTTCAAGTCCTGTGAGTTATTCTGACACATACTGAAACTTGAAAACCACTACTCTGAAGAATAAACTGTACTCTTCTTTCCCTTCAGGTCTGTGTGTTCCCTAGCTTATGGTATTTCTGGTGCACTTTGCATAATTGTTCTATTATCCTGGTAAACCATATGCTTTTGCTTGTTGTTTGTTTGAGACAGGATCTTCCACTGTAGTTCAGGCTAGCCTTGCATTCACTATGTAGTCCGGGCTGTCCTCCAACTCACCATCCTCCTGACAGCCTCCCAAGTACTGGGTCTGCAGGTATGTACCACCCTACCCAGCCCTGTGCACTTTTTTAGAATAAGTATCAATTATTAAAGGAGTTTATCCAATTGGTGTAACTAATTATTGTCCTGCTACAATCAGTGAAGCATATATAGGTACCCTGACTCATGGCCACTTGCCAGACCATGACTGAAATACTCTTGGAATTGTGTGGTAACACCTGGTCCAATCAGGGACCAGCCCGCCTTAAAAAAAAACAACAGGTAAGAACTGCTTCCTTGAGCAGGGTTGGAGCAGATAAACCAGAAGGCTTGCTCTTGTCCAAGAAATGTGTCTTCAATGATGTAAATGTGTACAGTTTGACTCTACCAGAGGACTAGTTAGGATTTTCCTGATTGGATAACCTGAATTCAGACTCCTTTTAGGAAAGCAAAAGGCAACGAGTGCTGCTTGATACAATTGAAAATAGTCCAAAGGCAAGGATGTTTGCTCCTTTTGATGTGTGGGGACGTGTGTGTGTGTGTGTGTGTGTGTGTGTGTGTGTGTGTGTGTTACTGGGGATCAAACACAGGGCCTGCATACCCTAGGCAAGCATTCTACCACTGGGTTATATCCCCTGTCCCCATTCTGATTTTTGAAGATGATTCAAGACAGGGTTAAACCCAGTTTTGGAACCCAGTTCCAAAATTACATTAAGATGCCATCCAACTTATATTCTTAAAGGTAATGTATTGCTAGATGTTTTCATCAGAGTGTACAGACACTTATGCTTTCCAAATCACCTTTTTAAAATTATGAAATACTTTGTAAGCTTAAATATAATGGTAGCTTCAAAAATTGGTTTAAAACTTCAAGTTTCTTTGTTAGGGATAAGAAATAGCAGGAAAGAAAGGCCAGGGATTTAGCTCACTGTTTCCAGTGCCTCCCTGGAAAGCACAAGGTCCTGAGTTCAATCCCAGGTACCAAAAAAAGAGAGAAGAAATAGCAGGGAAGGAATGAGTTTCACTGGGATTCTCTTATTAAATCCAAACAGAAAACAAGTAGATGTGGATTATGCTTCATTTTGCCACCATTCTGTTCTCTATGGTGACAAAATAGGCAAGCATTCTTGCAAAATAGATATGATAGCCTAAGATTTATTCAATCATAATCTGCAAAATGTTAGTAATCTATGCACCTGATAGTTGGATTAAAGGCAGTCTTGTTCTACAGTTGACTAACAGCAAAAAAATATTTACTAGATATTAATGCTACATCCAGATCCTATGAGAAACTTTTCATCTATTTGAAGACTCAAGGTTAACATGTCTGAAACAATACCCAAAGTACAAACAACAGATGGATAAGTGCTAAATTACGTTACCCTTGACGTACTTTTCTTTGTATGCTCTTGGAAATCTCATCCCTCATGACTTTATCTAGTGACTAAGTAGGTCAGCATTTCTCAGTCTTGACTAATGTAGGGATAAACTGCTGCAAAAAAATACTTAACATTCCCTTACTATAGAATGAAAGCATTTTTATAATTATTGTCTAAACATGTACTAATCTAAAAATAGGCACAAAATGCGTAGACGTATGACTTTTAAACAGTGATAAAAATAAATTTACAAGTTACAACTTTTAAAAACTATGCAGTCTGCAGAAGGTAATTTAGTGGGGAGCATGATATTTTATTGAAGCAGATATCACCACTCATCCTCTGAGGGTCCTATGGTTTCTTGGTAATTTTTACGACTTTCTTACTACAAGTGATGTGCTCACTCAGTCCTCACCACTTTCTTCACACTGTGGTGACATTATTATTTTTTTATATACATCCTGTGGGATTTGGTTTTGCCTGTGAGTTTTACAAAAAAATTATGTATGTATTAACTCAGCCTGTGATATTTTCTCACTATTTTACAACAATATAGAACTACAGAAGAAGGTCAATTTGATTGAAATATAGATAAAAGGTTAGAAATTCAATCTTGGATGACATTTAATAAGAAGAAACTATTCAGATGGTTTTAATTTTTTCTTTGTTATATGTTAAGGATTTCCATAGACACAAAGATGTGAAATCTTCATTAAAAGATTTAGAAATCCTTATTAAAAATTGAGAGCATCTGCAGTGGACACAGCTGTGCCTCTCAGGTCTCCCTACACGGAAGCATGGCCCGTCCCAGCCATTGGCAGACAGCTGGTTTCCAGCTCTCACTTCCCATAGGGTTTGCTCAGCTGCAAAGAGCTGCCTACCTCAAGGGCCCATCCTTCCCCAGGTGCCCACATTCAGTGACTAATGGAGGCAATAGTAGGAAAACTTAGCAGTTTCCTCTGAATAAGGTCAAGTCTGATGACCCTATGTGCTCTGGGCTTCTTGTGGAGTTGGCTACAGCTTCCTCAGCTTGAAACACAGTTCCACTTCCCCATCCCACTCCTGGTTTCCTCCCTGTCTCCCATTACTTGTAATTTCTAATAAATCCCCTGCATGACAAACTCCCCCTCAGCATCTGTGTCCAAAGAACCCAGTCAGTAAACACTTCCAGCATCACTCAGCAGAAGCCCCACAGGATTGAGAATGCCTCTAGTGTAGCCCTGATTCTTGTCAGAAGCTTCTACTCTCAAAATTCAGCTTCTGACTCTGTATTCCTGCCAGCACTGAAAATTCAACAGGTCCAAATTTGATGCATAGCTAATCTTTTAGGCTCATGTCTCAGAGCAATTATGTGTATTTTCTGTTTTATAATAGCATGGCCCTTTTGAGTCTTCACATACCTTGCTCTGCACATTCAGTTTATTATTCATGCTTCTTACCATCAGTAGGACTTTTCTCATTTCTCCAGGGATCCCCTTTTCCCTAAGTAAGGGATCCTACTGAAATTATAATAGAGAGCTTCTCTGTGCTTTTGGGATAGCTATTCTTTTTAACAGTTTTGGGTTTCCCTCTCCATCCGATTCTACAGACTTTAAATATTTTTTTTTCTCTTAAAGGGCACATACACAAAATGCCAACCCATAAACACCTATTTATTTTGGAGCACAATACACTGGCTTATATATTAAATAAAAGAGTATTGCTTTGAGGAGATGGCAGCAAGTGCTAACTTTTCCTTCTTCAGTGAGTGTTAGTTCGGTGCAGCCATTAGAACCAAACATTTATCCTAGTTGAAGATAAAAAGCATTCATTTTTTCTTTATCTTTTACTTTTCACTAAAGAGTAAAGAAAGCAAGTCTTGATAAATGTCAAAGTGAAAATTTTATAACATAGAGACTAGAACATATGAATATTATTAGGTGACTTACAAGTCTATGAAAACATATATATTTCTTAAGGCAGTGAACTGATTAAAAGATACTGGTGTTTACAATGGAATACTGCGTTGTCAGTTGAAAATAAGAATCTGAGATGTTTGTGAGGGAGAAATTGTCAGGAAAGCAGTAGAACATTTCCTGCCCATGAGTACAATCCTGAGGATTGGTGATCGCCATGATGAATCCACAAACCATTACCACAGCTCCAACGGGCAGCAGGACACAGGACATGATCTTATCTAGGTGTGTCCTTGGTTCTTCAGACACTTTCAGATAACATGCCGATGGAATGATAAAGATGAGAGGAGCAGCGCAGAGTGCACCCTGTGTGTCAAAGACAAGAAACAAGAACATGTTACTAGATGGAAGCATTTTTGAACAGCTTTTTAAAAACATTTACAAAACTTTTTATTGCATATGTTAAAAGTTTAATAGATTCAATTGAATCAAATAAAGGAAAGGAAATTAATTTCAAGGAAGACTTAGCAATAGGTTTTCCCTTTTCTAAGAGAATATTTACAAATGGACAAGATAAAACAGTGTAACAGTATATCAAACTACAAAAGAGATTATCTGAAAATAATATAGAAAATAAAGTAGGTGAAAAGAGTAACTTCTGGAAAACTTCAAATCTTTCATTTTTGAGTCAAAACCATACGTTGTTGTCTTTGTACTCTTCACTTAGTATCACTGTGTATGGACTATGTTTGCAATCTTCACTGGTCTATTTGTCATTTGTGTATAAATGGGGACCTTGGGAAATTTTCATGGGCATAATTGTTTTTCTTTATTAGAGTTTGTGTGGAAACAGAGCTTGACTGTGTGAGAAAGGAAAATTATAACCCTAAGGGCATTTAATATGGAATAGCATTTTCTAAATCCTCTTTCAAGTAAAACTAAATACATTATTTGCCCTAGAAAATTGACAGCAGAACTAAATGATTATAATTTGCCCACCCTCCCCTACATCAGCCATGGATAAATGTAACCTGAGGGGAAATGTCAGTCGAAAATAATGAGTAGTAGGGTTTTCTATTATTAAAATTATCAACCATTATTGACTTCAAAGGAAAAGAGATTTTCCTCTTTTTAGGCCTAATTCTCAATAGAAACTTTACAAATAAGTAAATATTGAAATGTAAGGCATTTTAGGTAACATACTTTTCTAATTATGTCGTGTTAATTATATTACATATTAAATATGAAATAAAAGATAACATTAATAAAATATATTAAAATTTTACAATAAATATTATTCTCCTAATCCATAAGGTGAAAGTTTTCTTTAAAAGAATTTTTTGTGTGTATTTGAGGTTTTGTGGGATATATATGAATAGTGAAATGGTTAGCACAGTGAAGCAAATTAACATATCATCTCACATAGTTTATTGTGTGCATGACAAGAGCAGCTAAAATATATTTAACAAAAAAAATCCCAAATATAATACAAATTTATGAACTGATGCTGTACTTATGCTTATAGTCCTTATGCTATACATTAGGTCTTTAGACTTGTTTGTTCTAACTATCTACACTGCTTTGTGAATGTTCACTTTTTGTTTGTTTGTTTGTTTTTTGGTTTTTTTTTGTGCCGGGGATCGAACTTGGGACCTTGGGCTTGCGAGGCAGGCGCCGGAACCACTGAGCTAAATCCCCGGGCCTCTACTGCTTTGTGTACTTTGACCTGTATCTCATTTTCTCTCTACTCTTCCACCTCCAATAACCATCATTTTATTCCCTATCTCTGTATATATGACCCCTCTCTTTTAAGATTCCATACACATGTGAGATTATGTAATATGTTTCTTTCTGTTTCATTTAGCATAATGTTTACTCAAGTTGTGGCAGATGGCAGGATTTCCTTCTTAAGGCGGAATAGCATTCCATTGTGTATATATGCCACATTTTCTTTATTCATTCATCCATTGATGGACACAGGTTGTTGCCATATCTTGGCTATTGTGAATAATGCTGCAATGAACATGGGAGTACAGATAGCTTTAGAAGATGGTGATTCTGAGATGGGAGTTAGGATTCTATTAGGCATTAAGGACAGTGGCCCCAAAATGGAGTTAAGAAGCCAAAATGGAGTCTGCTGAGTCATTACCCTCTAGGGAATCTTACAAAAGTATCTATGGGATTCCTGAAGCTGTCAATGGCTTCCCCATAGCATGACAGAACATGATCAGGCAGGCCATTGGCTCAGGGTACATGGGTCCTGTGTAGACACTGTGAACACTGCACAGATTGGACCCTGAGAAGTAAGTAATCTCCTGCAGGATAGAGATTATAGCACTTGCATGACAGCCTGAGCTTCTTTCTAAATCCTTTAAACCTCTAGGTCAAAGATCTTTGTAGGTATCCCACTCAGGACACCCTTCTGGTTAGGGAGAGCTCTATGTCTTTGCCTTGTATCTTTTAAATATATTTGCTTGTGCTATGCCTCCTCTGTCTGTAGTTTCATTCTTCATCACTGTGGGATGTGACTCTGGCATTCCAGTAATAATTTCCTCTACGTTGGGTATAAAAACCCAGAATAGAAATTACTGGATCAAATGGTAGTTTTGTTTTTAATTTCTTTAGGAACTTCTATGTTTTTCATAATGGCTGCACCAATCTGCATTCTGTCCAACAGGGTATTGGGTTTCCCTTTTTTCTAGGCCCTTGCCAATATTTGTTTTCTCTTATCTTCTTGACAATAGTCATCTAGTCATCCTAATTAGTGTGAGGTATGATCTCACAGTGGTTTTAACTTGTATTTCCCTGAATATTTGTGATATTGAGCACTATTTTTTGTCTTTTATAGAGAAAGTTTTATTTAGGTCATTTGTCCATTTTTAAATGGATAATTTGTTTTTCTTCTATTGAGTTGTAGTATTTTTTTATACATTTTGGAGATTAGCCCCTATCAGATATGTGACTAGCAAATAGTTTTTCCCAGTCCACAGGTTGGTTTTTCATTTTGTTGATTGTATCCATTGCTATGTACAAGTTTTTAATTTGATGTGGTCCCATTTATTTATTTTTGCTTTTGTAGCCTGAGCTTTTGATGTGATACATAAAAATCATGACCAAAGCCAGTGACAAGGGGCTTTTATAATCTGTTCTCTCCTTGAAATATTGTAATTTCAGGTATTACAGTTAGGATTTTTAAAAATTCATTTTGAGTTGGTTTTTCATGTATGGTGTAAGATAAGGATTCAATTTCAATCTTTTACATGTGGAAATTTAGTTTTTCCAGCATTATTTATGAAGAGAATTTCCTTTCCCTTCGTGTCCTTGACAAAAAAATAGTGGACTGTGTATGCTTGGATTTTATTTTGTTCAGTTGGTTCAAGTTTCTATTTTTAAACTAGTTCCATACTGTTTTGCATATTAAAGCTAAGTGATATAATTTTAAATCAGGGAATCTGACATATCCAATTTAATTTTTCTGCCCCAGTATTACTTTGGTTATTTGGCTTATTTTTTTTGTATGTGTGGTTCTATGTAGGCTTCAGAATTATTTTGTATTTATATGAAGAATGTTATTGGAATTTTGATAAAGATCACATTGAATTTGTAATTGCTTTGTGTAATATGGACATTTTAACAATATTAATTCTTCCAATCCATGAACATAGTATATTTAAAAAATTTTATCTCATTAAATTGATTTAATCAGTATTTTATAGATTTTAGTGTACAAATCTTTACCTCCTTTTTAAATTTTGTTTTGAAGTATTTTTTTTTTTTTCGGTACCGGGGATTGAACTCGGGTCCTTAGCTTGCGAGGCAGGCAGTGGAACCACTGAGCTAAATCCCCGGCTCCTGAAGTATTTTTTATTCTAAGAAAGATTGCTTCTTCCTTTTGTTAGGTTGGTATATATATATATGTTATATATAGATACAGATATCTATATTATAGATATATCACTAATATATACTGATTTTTATTTGTTGGTTTTTGTTCTTTCAAATTTACTGAATACACTTATTTGCTCTAACAGTGTTTTGTGTGTGTGTGTGTGTGTGTAATCTTTAGGTTTTTGTACATATAGAATTGTCATTTGCAAAGAGAGATAGTTTTACTTTTTTCTTTCTAATTCAGACATGTTTTATTTCTTTTCCTTGCCTGACTGCTCTTGCTAGTACTTCTAATACTACAGAAGTGGTGAGAAAGTGTCCCTCGGTATTGGATTCTTAGTGGAAAAACTTTTAGTTATTTCCCATTGATTATGACGCTGTGGGGTTTTCATAAATAGGCCTTATGTGGAAAAACTTTACTTCTATGCCTAAACTGTTAAGATTTTGTGAATTGATGCTGAACGATGTCAAATGCTTTTTTTCCATCAACTGAAATGATCAAGTGTTTATTATGTTTCATTCTGTAAATGTGATATATGACAAATATTATCCTCTTAAACCATAAAATGTAAGTTTTTAAACATACAATGAATAGAAAATGTGACATTGGTTTACAATTAAATTAAAGGTTTCCGTAAAATACATTCTAAAAACTGTTTTATATTTTAAAAGGTTATTATGCAGATTTATAAATATATATAAGAATGGTATAATGAAACTATAAATCTGTCACCTACAGTTTAAAAGCATTTGACACACTTTTAAATTTATAGATTTTCCCCAGGATCAATCAAAGCAAACTGAAGTTGAATTTGCATGATGTAAAGATAACAAACTATACCTGAAAATATTTGAAATAATTATTTTATCAATATTTTACTAATAAAATTATTAGTATTTTAAAATTATCAATTATCAATATTTAAAATTATCAATATTTTACCAATAAAATTATTTTTGTTTCACACAAAGTGCCAACCCCATACCAGAAATATTACAACTATAATTTCAATAATGTCTTTTTATTTTTTATAAAAACAAAAAGGAGTCCAGAGAAATAGCAATTAGGGTTTTGTACTGTGAACTCAAATAAACTAGGAAGTTTCTAAAAATTTGAAGGAGAATAATAGGGAGCACACTGCATGAAAAATAATTTAAGAGGAAGACATATAAGAATAAGAAAATACTAAGTGTTAACACTTTTGCATTCTAATTTAAAATATATGGAAAATATACTTTTGTCATTCATAGTATCTGAATACAAATGAATACCTACAAAGATACATAATAAGTAGAGATGAGTTGTGGCTGGAAGAAGGAATTATGGATTCTGTAAATTCTATCATTATACTTAGAAGTGATCATGATTTTTAAATTATGAAAAATACTATAGAATTCAATCTATATTTTATTCTAAAATATTACTCTGGTTTCTTTGAAGTAATTTCTGAAGACAACAAAATTATTCAAATAAATGTGTATACTGGTCTGGCTGAGCAGTCCCTTTCTTTGTCGGAACAGAACTGTGAGCTAAGGCATCAGGAGCTACAGAGGGAAGGTGCTCTCAGGGTGAAAACTGCCACCAGCTGCCGCTAAGAAGCTGTCATCGGTCAGCCCTTTGGAACTCTTTCACCTAACTTTCTGGGCAGGGCAACGGAATGGGTGTTCTGTTTGTATTGTAATTCTTAAGAGTTGAGAATATAACAATTAGAGGGAAAACTACATAGTTGATGTTTTTAGCAGAGGAAGCCCAATTAATTATCTTGCCAGTTACTTTCCAGATATCTAAAAGCTCAGTCTTGACAAAGATTGTTGCTAAGATCTCAGATTATCTATAAAATGATAGTATAGTTCCATCTGCTCTATCCTCTATAAATTAGTCCATCTTAGCTCACCTATGTAATGTAGATCTATTTTAGGATTCACCACTGGTTTGAAATGATATTTTTAAATTGCATGACTGGTACAAAAGCATAACTGCTTATTAAAAAGATAATAAAATATAGTCTTATTTATAAAGGCAAGATAATGCTATTCATTGATAATAACACTATTAATGCCAGGACATTTTGCATGGCCAATAGGGAAAGAACACAAGGTGTTGAAAATTTTTACTAGGAGTGTAGATTGGGTAGTGTCTGAATGCTCTTGCCTGAATAGAAACCTCTTGGGGCTGGTGAAAACTAAAAGAATGCTTATACATCTTTTAAATTTCTACTTTGTAATCAGTTCAGACACATGAAATTTATTCCTATATCATAAAAAATAAACACATTCTGTCTAGCTCTGGAAGTCTTTGGCAACGTGGACTGTGGTTTGCTCACCCCGGTGACTGCATTTCTGTGACTGGGCTCTCACTGGGTATTTGACTTGCTTCCTTCTCTCTGTACAAGATACACACAGTGCTTGCTGGGCTGGTTACTCTTGCCACAGGCACCAGCTGTCTCATTTTTTTTCTCTTTCTACTGCTGCAAGGAGCAACCCATAGGGCCCAATTACTGCAGATGCCTCTAACAGGAGCATCAGTGCCAAGATGCTGGATTCTTATTACCAAGAATTGGACTTATATTTCTTTTATTAACTTTTAAAATGAATCATTTAAGATTGAGAGTGGTTGGTTTTGGAAAAATACTTCATAGTTATATATTGTCATGAAAATAATGAAATACAAGTAAAATTCTAAGTGAGGTTTTAATTTTATTGAATACTATAACCTAAATAACTTATATTTTTTAATTTTATGAAATGCAGTATTTTCTTAACATTGCAAGATTTGCTTCTGATGTACACGTCGTCTGTGAAGGTCATTGTTCTACTCAGTGACAATTCAGAAACTACCACAGAAAAAAATCCCTAAAATACTAGAGTTATTAACTAACATGAAGAGGCCCTGTATTTAATTTCAGTACCTCCCCAACAATGAACTAGAATAAAAGATATTGATTAAAAATTAAGACAAAAATTCAGTTTCATTTTATTTCATTTCTTGGTATTTAACCCATTATTAAAATCTATTCTTATATATTATGGGTTATTCTTAACCTTAGAGATAAATTCAATGCATAGATTTTTCATTTTAAAAAGTAGATAGAAGAGCAGAATTATTTTTACATAATTTAACCCCTCAGACCCAGAAAATCTTAGACTACTAAAATGATTAAAAATTAACCCATTTTCCATTCCTCCTTCTCATCTCTCTTAGAAGCTTTCTCTCAATAAATCTTCCTACTCTTAAAAAAAATGTAGGCTGAAAGACCCAGATACCTGTGTTCAAATCTTGATTCATCTACTTACAACTAGTATGAACTCAGATTATTTATTTAATCATGTTGCCTTAGTTTCTCTGTCTGTGAAGTTAACATGGATTAAAAAAGATAACGCATGCAAAGTACTTAGCACAGCATAAGTAAATGTTAGCCCAAATTTTCACTATGAAGTGGAACATGGCATGCTTTACTCTTTTGATATGTAGCATGTTCCATCGTGTGTTAGCTTGTCTGACAGACAAGCTCCACTTGGCTCTACTAGACATTGTAAGTGCCCACACAAAAGGGAGCTGGATAAAGGCCTGAGTATGTTTTTATGCATACCAAAAAACTTTTATTGATGGCGAAAACACATATTCTTTGGTAGTTTATAGAGAAAGGTGGTCCAGATTTCATGAATTCTCATAAAGTGCTTTAAAACTAGTGAAATAGTCTTGCGTTGTTAGGTCCTAATAGATAATATAGTCTTCTTCCTTAATTGTTCTGTGTATGTGTCTATATAAGCAGGTTTAAAAAAAATCTAAGTATCCTGAAGTATGTTTTAAATTTTAAAAACAGTCCTTCCCAGCCTACTGGGAAGTCATATCTTGACTTTTTAATAGACATTGACAAGGTATTTTTCTCCTGTTTTAATACCCAGGATCCTGTTAATCACAGCACATTTTCAATATAAGTAAAATAGGGAATATTTAGTGTAAATGTGCTTACAATCATGTTTCATATGCATCATGGAGAGTAACAATTAGTTCCACAGAAAATAGTGGCCAACTTTACAGAAATCCATCATTCCTTAAAAATGAGCAATTTGAGCTTAGAATGATCCAAAAAATTCTCAGGCTATCAAGATGTGATGAACATTCAGGCAACTGATAAGCACATTTTCTCTCAGAACAAAATCCTACAACATTAATCAAGCAAATAAAATGTGTGAACTCAACTGAGACATTTTATAAACATTTATAATATATAGACACTTTATAAACAGGGCTAAGGGTGATTACCCTGATCATCTCTATAACGCACTTGAAAGATTACCATTGTCAACATCAATACTATTTTGTAACAATTTCCTGGTACTATGCTGAAGAATGTCTCTTATGATGGAGAATGGGGACAAAATGGAATAAAAGAATTAAGATATATTATGTACATGTACCTACTTCCCAAGATGAATGTAATCATTATGTACTGCAAGAATATACTAATAAAAAATTTAAAAAGAACATCTGTTACATAGAGGAATATTTGTAGAAATAGGTCCTGAAGTGTGGTCTCAAGGGACAATCACTCATGTAGTAATTTGAGCATAATGTCCTTAGCCCTGTGCCAAGTATCATGGAAGATGGAGAAGGTAGTTAAATATTGTTGTTTTCAAAGATCCTAGAATTTGGTAGGTAAGGCAAATTTATAAGTAATTCAAACAGTTTATGACCTGAGATGATATATAAATCAAGTTATTGCATTAAAGTAGCAATGATTCATTTAGACAAATCAAGGTTGCTGCATGAAATTACTTTGAGTCTATCTACTATCCTTTGTCCTGTGCAAAATAAGACATAGATTGAAGTTCCCTTTGACATTTGTCTACCCCTTGTGTAAGCTTTTCTCCTCCCTGAGATGGGGCGTCTCACTGTGTTGCCAAAGCTGACCTTGAGCTCCTGGGCTCAAGTGATCCTCTTTACTCAGGCATGTAGCTATGACAAACACCATATAGACAAACACCACTGTGCTTGTTTTTTTTTTTTTTTTCACCAATATTGGTGGAATAGAAAATAATTCCCTAGTCACCTGAGGTTTTAGAAAGCTGCAGATCAGATAATTATTTGTTGTGAGGGGTTGTCCTATGCACTGGGAGACATTGGCAGTGTTCCTCGTCTCTTCTCACTAGATGCCAGTAGCACTGCCAGCCAGGTATGCAACCAAATATGTCTCCAAACATGTCAAATGTTCCCCGGGGGAGGAAGAGTTCCCCATTAGTCTCCATTTGGGAACCACAGCTTTAAAAATTTATAGTCCTATAAAGTGCAGAGTATCATCATTATAAATATGTACTATTGTATTACAAACACATTTTCATTCCATTTTAGAAGTGACACTTTTGTTAAGGAAAATTTATCTTATATTAAATGGAAACATTCTATTTAAAGGGATTTTTAAAATGGAAGGAGTAAATTTTCAAATGTACTTACATTGAGTTCTAAAACTATTCCAAGGCAGTCAATCAGCAATGACAATAGTGTGGCTACAGTAATGATCACCACTGTTATAACAATGTGGAAAACTGATGAAAGATTCCCACCAAAAAACACATTGGCAATTACCTGTCAAATAAACAGATTATTTTGAAAGTTACCATTGAGGTATGCCAGATTTATTGACAGAGTATTTCATAATAGCACTTAGGACTGTATAAAATGTCACCAACAAGGTAATCAAATTTCAAGTTACTATGAAATTGATCCCAAAGCAGTTACATATTGACACACACACATCTATATTCTTTGTTGCACTATTAGTTGGTGGGTTATACTACAGAGCCAGAGCATGCCATACCAGTAGTTTTTTTTAAAATTTATATATTAATTGGTACATTTTAGGTATACAGTACATTTACATTTATTTATT